CCAATAATTACAGTATATCTTCTCCCTTCTCTACTAAATTACTCAGGTTGAAATTTTTAATTTTTAAATTTTGATTTAATTTAGAAAAAAAAAATTTTTTTTTTCCTAGTATTACTTTTTATACTCCACTTGATTTTCCTTAACTAACCATACTGCTTTTGACCTCAATGTTTCATCTTTCTCTTCTGGAAGATCTGTTAGGTCTGCCCTCTCCCATTCCCTTCCACCCTTAGGTATGTTATCTGTATTTATGGTGGAGTTCAGGTAGAGCTATTAGGGGACCTTAGGCTGTTATAATCTTGTAAGTGATGAAAGGGCATCTGTTTCACTGCCACTGCCTTGTAGGCATGTTCTCTGTTTCTGTCTGTATAGTTGGAGGATTCTACATTTTCCCTCTAGTCTTTTTACATTCCCCATCCCTGGTAGCAGAGGGAATTCTCCCTCCCATTAAATGCCTCCTGGGTACTTTTAGGGCAGAGGAAGCAGGCCACAGTTTCAGTGCGGTCATCTATCTGCAAAACTCCTTTGGAAGCCAAGGGAGGTGGGGCACACCTGTAGTCAGTCCCAGCCGTTTGTGAGGCTGAGGTGGGAGGATGGCTTGAGTTCAGGAGTTTGAGGCTGTAGTGAGCTGAGAAATTAATGCACTTGTGATTGCTACTGCACTCTAGGCTGGGCAACATAGTGAGACATAAATAAATAACCAAAACTATCTTGGGTCTACTTGGAGCTGAGAGCAGAGCAAGTCTTGGACTGGGTTTCTCTCAAGATGTCCATAAGCCCGTGGCCACATTCTTCACCTCCAGGCCACTGCCTCTTGTCCCTGGGGCTGACTGGTTCAAGAGAGATAAATGGAGTCAATATTTGGGATTGACATCAGAAGGTAAATAAAATGTAAGGCTTTCTCATCCATCCCTAAGCCCAAATCCTGAATTTTTATACTATATGTATAAATACCTCATGGTATTACATCCCTTTGTGCTTTTCATCATGTTAAGTTTAATGACGTTATAGACAAGACTTCTATTTTGAAAGCCTATCTTTGACTATCCTGGTTTTCTCTACCTCTTCATATGTACAACCTCTTGGACCTCACAATTCTGACAATTTCTAGGAAGTGTGCTTGTCAAATGCAATTTGGACAAATACACTCTTCTAGGATTGTTTATTGGTTTTGACAAGTAAAAGTCTTCTGGGAGAGTTTATTTGTCCACATGCAAATTTTATGGAACAAAATGTGATTGATCTAAAAATTTTGTACAATGCCGAAACTAGTTAAAGTAGAACAGACTCCAAAAGTAGGAGGGATAGCTAGAAGGAAGAAATGGGAGCCAAGAATCGGATTTGAGTTATTTAGCGGTTCTGGGAAGTAGATGTGGGGATAACATGGAAATTGAAAGCCACTTACAATCAGAAAACCTTACTCCGGCCAGTGGTTATGACCTCTTCTTTTCTTAAGTTGTCCTAGAGTTGCTGACAAGTAGTATTTGGAGAGCTCAGACATTGAAGACACCTGTTTTATTTGACAAAATTAAAACAAGGAAGCATTAAGTAGAATCTGAATGGAAGAAAGAAAATACTATACCCTATATTCACTGGTTGTAAAGTTAGTGCAAATATATGTATGTTTACATTTAAATAGTCACTGGCCTTAAATATTTGAGATTTGAATTATGCACACGTACTCTTTGTGGTTGGATTGCTTGATATTCAGTTTGTCCTAATCAGCCTCTGGCAAAGAGAATTTGAATTATATAACATGTGTAAACTTCACACTGAACAGTAATTGGTCCGTGTTGCTCAGTGGCACTTAATGCTGAGGTTAATGGCTCAGTAAAAATCTTAAAAAGCCATTGACTAGATCTCCTTTACCTGTGTACTAGTACATGGAATGGATAGGCTGACAATCAGTGAAAGCTTTTATTCTGTGTCATAAACACTTAATGCCTGATTGTGTATGTGAAAACTAGTGACATATATTTGAACTTTGCCATTTATCAAAAGCCCAGGCAAAACATAAATAAATAAATAAATAAATAAAATTTAAAAAAAAATTCTGCTCTTATCTCATAGAAACTATTCTCTCCTTTTTTTGTTTTCTAAATTTTATTTTTCTAGGATGTTGTTATGGGATGTATTTGTGTTCTTAACTTTGGGTTTTCTTAACTTGAAGAAAGATGTTTGAGGTGGTAATTATCCAAAAAAGAAGGGGAATAAGAATGGTCAGGTCACTTGCTTGTACCCAGATTCATCAAAAGGTGTAAAACAGTAATAGTAGGCGTTAAATTCATTAAAGGGGGTGAAAAGGTAACAAGACGTTAAATGCCTAGACCAACATAGGGAATTAAAAAAGTTACGTTTTTAGAGTTTTGTACCTGTTACTATACATGTGATTAAGAGAAGGACTTTCTGTGACATGAGAAGCTATGTCAGATGCTACTGTATACCATGTATTAAGAATTCTAGTTTGTTCTACAGAAGGATTTTAATAAATCATGAAAGAACCCCATGGAAGTAAAGAATCCCAAAGAAGAAAAAAAGAATTTTCTCTTTTTTCTCCCCCTGGGGGTGGTAGAATTTTACTGGTTTTTTTTAATGCTTAACATTAGAAATTTGTCAGTAGGTTAAAGGTTGTATTTTAAAAGTTGTATTCATAAAAACATATTGAATGTTACACAACAGTGTTTTGGTGTTTAAGAGCCATAATTAGACTACTGGTTGCAAATTGCCAAAATTCAGTGAGTCAATAAACCAATTTAAAAAAAAACCCTCAGAGATATTAGATTTCAAAATGTTCTTCCTTAATTTAGCTTGTCCATTATACTTTACTTTAATTATTCATAGTATTGCTTCACATGCCAGGAAACGTCTTATAATAGAATTTATAGAATAATGAAGTTTCACTAATGTGAATCCTGTCTTTAGCATTCTGCTCTTAAATCTCAGATTATGATTTGTAAGGACTTATCTAGTGTGATGCATAAAAGCATGTCTTTGTTTGGTAACTTCATTCGTTTTAGATTTTTGAAACCAGATGCTTGAGAAAATAAATGGTATAATTTGGTCTATGTTATTTTGTTGTTGTTGAGCAAATAAGAGAAAAATTTTAAGAAACAAAAATACATGTCCCTCCTAATACAGAACAATACATTTTCATTTTGGGTATTACTTTCGATGCTTATTCATATGCATATATGCACCTTGTTTTTGCACAGACCCAATAAGCAGATTGTTCATTTTAATGAAAAATATTGCCCTTGCCTACTCCCTAGCCTTTGCTAGATAATTTAAGGAATACAGGATTAGTTTACATATCACTGGGCTTACATGGGTGAGTTACAGATGAAAGATAATAAGTAAGCCTAAAGATATAAATTCTAGTTGAAAATTTGGACATTTATTTATCTTTGGTTCCATTAGGAGTTGGAAGTAAGCAAGAAAGAGTTCTTCTTTTAGTATTGGTGTGGATTTTTGCATGTCCAAGGTCTACTTCTGTTTTTTATTCTTACTATCCATGGTATAGGGTCACAAATATGGTAAGTATGGACTTACATTTTGTTCCTACGCAGAAAGATAATATGTAGGTTATATATTCTGATGTGTTTATATGAGTAAAAATTAAATAACATTTAAAATTAAATGTTCTTCTTAGCAAAGTATCTCAAGAATAGAAGAAAAAGTATCCAATATGCTCAACCCTATTATGAAACTAACTAACCGTTAGCTATCATAGGAAAGCTATAATCCAAATGGAGTCCAAGAATACGGGGAAAGGGGAGAGGGAGGGGAGAGGTGGGGGAAGGATGGGTGAAGGGAGGGTGATTGCGGGGATCACGCCTATGATTTATCCTATAAGGGTACATGGGAATCTTTCTAAATGTCGAATACAAATGTCTTAACACATCAATTATGAGAAAGACATGATAGCTATGTTGGGCAATTGGATTGAAAGTATTTCAAATTGTATATGGAAACAACACACTGTATCCTATGATAGAATTAATGTACACAAATATGATTTAATAAAAAAAAATAAAAAAATAGGCAGAAATTACGTCTTTTCTCATGATGACACCGCAGTAATTATTAGAGACTTTCTAAGTCATTAGATGGTTAGGTGAAGTCTTGGTTCTGTAAATTCCTTTTTTGTTTTTTTCCCTAGAGGGTGGGAGACATACATATGCCTGATGAAATTTTGGACAGCATATAAGTAATTGCTTTTTATCTCAAACTGAAATTGATTTTAATTCTTATTTTTTTTGGGGGGGGGTTCTTGTGATTCTTCATATTGCAGAGCCATTTAAAATTTAATATGACGTGGCCTCATATGTGAAATGGGGCTCCATCTCTTCCTCAATCTTATGGTGCAGCTGGGTGTTATTCCCCATATACAATCTGTGCTTTACTCCCTGTGGTTTTAGCTCATTCTGGTCCCTGACCTCTAAGTACCTTTGAAGTCTTCTCTTTCTAGTAGTTACCTGCGTATACTCCAAAACCTAATTCAGGCATTACCTTTATACATTTTTATGAATTGTAAGTATTCTCTCCATGCCCCAATAGAATTAAACAGTTCTCCTCTTTGCTTTGTAGGTTAAAAACGACTGTTGATCAAAGATATGCCATACTCATCTTAAAGGGGAGGCATGTGTTATCCATCTTTGTATCTTCTACAACAAGAATTTAGTTAACATCTGTTGCATTTAAATGTTTTAAAACTCCACCTTCTCAATGATTAAGAAAATATCTTGCCTTGTTAGATTCTTTGCTAGTAACCGTCCCTTACTACATTTCTCATATAAGCTGTCCTCACTTGCAAAACTGTGGGTCACTGGTTTATGTTAAAATAGTTTTGGCATTTTAGAGATTAAAAGATTTTTGGCATTTTAGAGATAACCTGAGAGCAACTGAAGAAGAATCATTCTGTGTAGATGTAACTGTAGGAAATTGACTTTTGGCTGTTGCTGTTTAACGCTGAGCATGCCCATCTTCTCCCCTTTTTACAGGACCCTAACAGGAGCATTCATACCAGCAGCAGCAGCAGCAGCAGCAGCAGTAGCAGCAGC